AGCACCTGTAGCTTTGGTGAAAATATCTGCGAGTTGTTCCGAGCTTTTGGTATACTCGGTGGAGATGATCCCGTGAGCAATCTTTTCCCGAATGAGGTGACAGTCTACCTCTATGTGTTTTGTCCTTTCATGAAACACCGAGTTTGCCGCTATGTGCATCGCCGCTTGATTGTCGCAATGGAGAGGTATCGGGAGTGTCGGAGTTATCCCGAGATCATTAAGGAGATGCCTTAACCAAATAATCTCGCATGTAGTGTTAGCCATTGATCTGTACTCGGCTTCTGCACTTGATCTTGCGACCACCGTTTGTTTTTTGCTTTTCCACGTCACTAAGTTTCCTCCAACAAATGTGCAGTAGCCTGTGGTTGATTTTCGATCATTCTTGTCTCCAGCCCAATCCGCATCGCAGTACGCCGTGATCCCAACGTCATTGTTGCACTTCATCCATAGTCCTTTTGTTGGTGTTCCCTTGAGATACTTGAGAATTCGGTTCACCATGTGCCAGTGGTCCTTGGTTGGCGAATGCATCCATTGACTAACCTGGTTCACGGAGAAACAGATATCAGGTCGTGTAATAGTTAAGTAAATTAGCTTACCCACAACGCGGCGATAAAGTGTGACATCCGAAAAGCATTCCCCCTCGCGTTGATGTTTGTAAGCCGCCTCAAGAGGTGTAGTCACAGGTTTGGCTCCAAGCTTGCCTGTGTCATGAAGCAAGTCAAGTAAGTATTTTTGTTGCGAAAGGAACAAACCATCCGAATTACGGTGAATCTCGATTCCGAGGAAATATGTGAGATTGCCGAGATCCTTAATGTCAAAGGAGGTTCTTAGAAGCTGTTTTGCGCTCGCGATGCCAAGGTTGTCACTTCCTGTAATCACAATGTCGTCAACGTATACGAGAATAATTGTAATAAGAGAAGCATTATGACGGAAAAACAGAGAATGGTCAGCCTCCGAGCGAGAAAAACCATGTGTGACAAGAGCATCATGGAGCTTCTTGTACCATGCTCGGGGCGATTGTTTAAGACCATAGAGCGCCTTACGGAGCCGACAAACGAACTTGTCTGCTAGGACTCGAATCTTCTATTCGATGATGTGCTTTTAGAAAAAGAGATTTAGATCACTTCTTCAACCCCTTAGACTCTCCAAAAAGGTCTGAAGAAGTTCTTTATTTCGGCCCCTTAGTGTTAGGGTTATTGCGAGAAACGAAAGAAGACAGAGACGTTTTAACGAGTTCGGTTACCGGGCAAGCTCGGGCCTACATCTCGGTCGGACGGTGTCGACGAATCCACTAGAGAAGAATCGAGAGAAACCAACAATCGGCGACCTCCACAATCACCGTAGGCTCACCCAAGAAAGAATCGGGAAAAAACATGACAGCCCTTGAGTTACAAGCGAGAACCAGAAGGCCCTTACCGAGACCTTCAATCTCACCTCTCTCCTTGGTCGTCTCTGAGCTTCGGCGTCGCCGAGAGGCTCCTCCATCTCCGCGATCTTTCTTTCTCTCTCGAACGTTCCTCCTCGAGCATGTGCGTCGTCTCCGCATAATGAAACACGATAGGGTATTCACCCTAACATCGAAGCGCATCGTTTCAATTAAAACCGAAATCTCCTTCCAAAACAGAAGGTTCTCTTTTTTGCCAACTGAGCCGTGAGGCCCAACAATCTCCATCTTGGTGGAGAAAGAGAACAAGAAATAATAAAAATAAACACTAGTGGAACTCGCTGTTTCCAACACCGATCGATTTTCGTCAAAATTTAAAACACAACTTACCTGACATACCTCACTTATCTGATGCATCAGAGTTAGTCATATGCTGCTGCCTTTGAACCTGATGACGCTCCCACCAATGACTCCTCAAGGACTCGTCGCCTTATTCTGCCACTGATCCTGCTCATCCAAACCTAAAACACTCGGTAAACGTGTTAGAACGTTCACCCCGATAGGACTCGAACAGAAGTCCTAACATACGTCACCCGACCGGCAGACGCTACCCTCGGTTGTATGACTCCCTAGATCGTCAAACTAACCCTCCTTGGTAAAGTCCGAGACTTCACCTGCTAGCAACTCGAGGATTATACCCGACGTCTACCCACCCCCTAAGTCTATCCCGACATCCTCTGAGACTAACCTGAGTCATACTATCGAGACCCGATAGATACCTACCTAGCCCAGGATCCCCATAGAGTCTACACTATCTATGAGTATGCGACTTCTACCCTCGGACCCTAACCTGCCAACTAAGATTGTCCCACGGTTTTGTCCCGTGAAGACGCTCCTAGTCATCTACGAATGCTCCACCGAGAATGAGACACGTGAGTGCACGTACTCCACCTCGAGAGGGAGTGTCCTAGCGCTCCAACCTACACCGACTCTACCCGGTGAAATCCGGCACCTCCCACCTCACACCATCTCTCGAGCATCCTACCCGAGGAAGCTCCACCTAAATGTGGAGACCTCACCTCCTGACCTACCACCGAGAACCGAAGCAACTTCGGTTTACTCGTCTGAGATCAACATGTCCTTCTACCTCGGACTCTCCCTACCTCGTCATCCGGGACCTACAACACTTCTTGTAGTGTCCCTATCTACCCGCAGAACCACTCACTCCACCTGGTCCTTGGCCTTCTCCTGCAATCCGATTTCTCGGGTCTGCCCGAGACCCCTAGTCCTTCCACCATACCCCCTTCTGGGGTATACTGAGTTAAAAACACTACAAAAAAACAGTCCTAGCATACGAGTTCCAAGCGTTGGAATCCTTTCCTCCGTGTGGATACGTGTAGAGGGCGAAGTACTCTTCCTCCCTTCCGTGATCAGACGAGTTCTTCGATTGATACAGGCCCCGGATCGATTGAGGTAAGCGTTCTGACGTTTCTACAAGATCATACTACATGGTTCTAGGGGTTTCTTATAAATTTTTGTTTTACATCCACTGCGCAAACCCTAGAGTGTAAGAGCAGGAATGGAGAGCAAATTGTTTTGAAAATCTGGAACATGAAATGCCGGAACATGATTATCAAAAACATGTAGTTGGCCGTGTCCTAAAATTGGGAGAGTTTGACCATCAGCCACACTCACCTTGCCCCAAATTTTTTTCAGATTACTCAACAAGTTTGGATTACTAATCATGTGATTGGTGGCTCCCGAATCAACTATGAAAGATGCATTTAGAGAAAGAGATGAATCAGAGACAACATTACCCGACTCCTTGTCCTTCATGGCAAGGAGAAGTTGCTTAAAACCTTGAACTTCATCAGGTGTAAATGACAGAGTTGTAGTAGCAGCAGTCATTGCCTGATCGCTTTTGGGTGAATCTTTGTATCTTGAAGGCTTGAGGTGAGGATGGAGAAGCCAACACTTCTCCTTGGAATGGCCTTGCCTCTTGCAGTGATCGCACGAGAGAGGACGTCGGTCACGACCGGGAGCAGAAGGCGAGGAAAAATGGTTCGGACCGCGGCGATAATGAGCAAGTTCGCTTGGACCTGAAAACAGAATATGTCCTCCTTCCTCTCTTTTAATCATCATGCAGACATCATCATATTTTGGGAGCTTGTCTTGGCGAAGAATATGGTATATGAGATTATTGTACGAGCTGTCAAGAGTAAGGAGGATGGAGAAAACCTTATCCTCCTCCAACCTGTCTTTGTACGCCTTGATGTCCGCCGTAGGGGGGCGCAATTCCTCGAGTTCAGTCCACAGGGAGCTGAGTTCTCCATGGATCGTGTTGAATGATTTGCCATTCTGTTGGAGAGCAAACATACGTTTCTTGAGTTCAAAAATTCGACAGAGATTGCTAACATTACCATAGACATTCTGAAGAGCCTCCCAAAGCTCCTTAGTGGTCTCCAAGGCAATGAATGATTTCAGGACGTTGGAATCCAACGAGCTCTGAAGAATAGCAAGAGCGAGATTATCCTCCTTCACCCACTCAGTTGACAGATCTGGGCGAATCCGAGTTTCTTGCTCTGTTGCAGCAATAGGTTGGGGCGTGACTTGTGTTTGGGTTGTGTGATCCCAAAGGCCACGACTCTTGAGAATAGCCTTAGCCGCTTTCGACCAATAGAAATAGTTATCTCCGGAGAGGAGCACAGGGATTGTTTTCGGGGCATTTAGATCCATGCTTAAGCCGGGGAAAAAAAAAAAGATGGAGGAAGGAGTTGTTGGGAGGAAAGCAGAATGATGACGAAAGGAATCACAGAATCAGCAACCCAGAGGCTCTTGATACCATGTGAAAACCTTCGAAACTTGGGGTTGCAGAACAACCAGAGGAAAGAAGAAAAAGTTCTTATTGTCTGATCTAATTTTACAGAGTATACAATGTCGTGTAATTATACTAAAGGCAACAGTATAATATAAGGAAACTAATATCTGCAGGAGGAAAGTTATAGAAACCGAGAATATATTAGCATAATCTCAGTCGTCAAATCATGGATTCTCTTGATTGAGATCGTAGCACTTGGATGCAGGATTATCGCCATCTTCCAGATCATGTATTTGCTTTTCGGCTAAGGTATGGGCTCCAACAATTCACGCTGCGTGATGAAATTACATATGAAAATTGACTTAGCAAATGTCCTTCACTCTTGGATATTAATAGTCCACGGAAAGTGTGAAGACAATGTCAAAACCATGAATCCGTACCATATTATATATATATATATATATATATATAACTGATGGGAAAGTGACAATTTGATCACATAATTTCTGAATTTACGCAAAAAACAATACGGTTATATAGTTTTACTATAGAAATAGAGGCGGAGTAGCAATTGGAAGATCCAATTCAAGCATTTGTTAAAGATTATTTTCATAAAATATCGTAATTATTACGATTTTTTTTTATATTAGATAATAAATGTTTTTGTTTTTTTATTGGGGCAGAAATTTTGAAGGAGTAAACGGTGAAGATATGAAATTGAACTTTTTAATTAAACTCTTGTGAATATTCCGTAGCTACAAACACGTGTTTGGAAAAAACCGACGCCTCCCTCTCTCTCTCTCTCTCTCTCTCTCTCTCTCTCTCTGTTGACGCCATTATATATAACTCCATTGCCGAAGAGCTTGTAAGCTTCGAATTTACATTTTCCCGTGTTTAAAGAAGGAAAGAACCTAAGAATCATCGTTCTGAGGACAGAAGAGAATCAACAGAAGAAGATTCGAGAGAATACAATCGGAAAGTTTCGGCATTTCTGGAAAATTTTACAGTTTGGGGATAAACCCCGTTATCTCTGACTTTGTCTTCAAGGTAATAACGCGCCCTTGATTTCTGGAATAGAAATTTTCTCTTGTTTGTTCTATTTGTGCCTGCGATGTTTCCAATGGATTGTTTCGTGATGTCTCCACGAGATTGTTTTGATCAGCATTTGTATTTTACTCCACTCGAACAGATTTCCGTGATCTCTCGTAGTTCTCCATGGTTTTTGAGTAGTATTTGATAGTCCGTGACCCCTCACTGATTTACTGAAATACGATGTTATCGGGATAATGCGTCTCGTTTATGGGTTTTGTCTGAAGCTCTCGTTTATGTTGATCAGATTCTCGGGTCTGATTCATTTCCAAGATTCTTCAACTGGGTTACGATGTCTCGCAGATCCGTGAAGTTCTTGTTTTAGTTCTGTTTTCGGCCTGAATCTTTTGATCCTACGGTGTTTGTGAAAATGCTCTTCCTCTGTATATATGTATATCTCCGGATATGTGTAAATTGCACATATTCCCGATTTTTTTAACTTCTGATCCGATTGTTTTTTTCCATGGCAGATTTGTATATTTTCGGATTGAAGATCTGAAGGTTTCTGTTGAATGGGGATCTCTTTCTCTTGCCCGTTTGCGGAGCACAACGATGTGGAAGCTGTTTTGGAATCAGTCAAAGTGAAGTCAATAAGTTTCGGAGATGATGAGTGTAAAACTCCGACAAGATCTGTCAGCTTCAACGACGGAACTCTGGAACCCACGATTCTGAAATCTATGGGATCCGGTAAAATGGTCGTGGAGAAATCCGTTAGCTTCAAAGGGAGGCAACTGCAGAGGATGATCTCTCTCAACAGGTCTCTTCCAATGGAGGATCATAAGAAAGACGATGTCTATGAGATGGATATTGCTAGAGAATTGTCTCTCTTGGATCTGAAAAACCCGAAACACGAGGCTGCCATCAAATTGCAGAAAGTTTACAAAAGCTTCCGCACCAGAAGAAAGCTAGCTGATTGTGCAGTTCTTGTCGAGCAAAGCTGGTTAGTTCCGAGTTTACTTAGAGGCTTGAAGCTGGATTTCGGGTAATGTCAAAAGTGTTTTATGTCTAATTGGTGTTTTTTTTCCTTCTAATGCATCACAGGTGGAAGCTCTTGGATTTTGCGGAGCTGAAGAGGAGTTCTATATCGTTCTTCGATATCGAGAAACATGAAACTGCTATTTCTCGGTGGTCAAGAGCGAGGACCAGAGCCGCTAAGGTGACCAAGATTAATACTTTTCTGATCTTTGTTTCCTTAAATCTGTTTCACCATACTCACTCTGTTTATTGCTGGAATTTTACAGGTCGGTAAAGGTTTGTCAAAGAATGGAAGAGCTCAAAAACTCGCTTTACAACACTGGCTAGAGGCGGTGAGTTGAAAACCGATCCATGGAGCCAAATCATAGCCAAATTTCCTAGCTTGTCGGGTCTAATGTGTTCAGACATTATTATGCATTTTTGTTAAACAGATTGACCCGAGACATCGGTATGGACACAATCTGCACTTCTATTATAACAAATGGCTCCATTGTCAGAGCAGAGAACCCTTCTTCTACTGGTAACCGATGCACTTATCCTTTTATTCTTCTAAATCTTCTTTGTAGAATCGTGAAGCTGATCATGTATGTGGAATTGATTCAAATGTTGCAGGCTTGATATCGGAGAGGGGAAAGAAGTGAATATCGTGGAGAAATGTCCCCGGTGGAAACTTCAACAGCAGTGCATAAAGTACCTTGGTCCGGTTAGTATCAGTTTGATATCTACTCAAAAAACGAATTTATCTACAAAAACGTAGAACGTTTTCTTTACTTTGTTCCGGTTTTTGTGTCTGCAGATGGAAAGAAAGGCTTATGAGGTGGTTGTGCGAGATGGGAAATTCTTCTACAAGCAAAGTGGAGAGATTCTTCACACAACTGCTGCAGAAGATATTGATTCTAAGTGGATTTTTGTCCTCAGCACGTCAAAGGTTTTATACATCGGGAAGAAGAAGAAGGGTACGTTTCAGCATTCGAGCTTCTTGGCGGGAGGAGCCACTGCTGCAGCTGGAAGATTGGTCATTGAAAATGGTGTTCTTAAGGTATTGATGGATACATGATCAGTATATTGTTTATATATATATATATATCCTGTTTGGTATCTTGAAGAATATAAGCTTAAGCTTTTTGTTGTATTGGTGGCTTTGAAACAGGCTGTTTGGCCACACAGCGGGCATTATCAGCCTACAGAAGAGAATTTCATGGACTTCCTTTCCTTCCTCGGAGAGACCCGTGTTGATATCACCGATGTGAAGGTAAGAGAGATATAACAAACATCATCATAATATTAGATTCTCGGCTTTTCTTCTTGAAGATCTTTGTACTCGGGAATAGTTTTTCAAAGATTATGTTGTTGAATTATTCTGCTTTCTGTTCTTTTCAGATGAGTCCAACGGATGAGGATGAGTTCTCAATTCACAAGCAAAGAAGTACTCATCTAAGAAACCACTCGTTGGAAGAAGATTTAACACAAGAGTTGGACTGTGTAGAGACCGAGAATAGCAGTATCTGTCACGAGAAAGCCGGTTCAAGAGAAGAAGAAACAACTCTGGTGATGAAACATTCCAAGTCCAGAAAGTTGGCCAATCTCGAATTACCGAAAAGGGTCGAATCTTTCAGCGGATTTAGTGAAGAAAACCGATCCATGGACCCAAATCATAGCCAAATCTCTGAAGGGTATGACTCGGGAGATGAAGATGAGGAAGAGATGCTTGAAATAGACCAAGAATCAAAGCCAGTGGAATCGAACTCACCCAGAGAAGAGAACGGGGAGATTCCAGAAGAATCAATCCTTAAGAGGATAAACTCCAAGAAAGAGACGAGATCTTTCCAGCTGGGGAAACAGCTATCATGCAAATGGACAACAGGGGCAGGGCCGAGGATCGGTTGTGTAAGAGATTATCCATCCGAGCTTCAGTTTCGGGCACTGGAACAAGTGAACTTGTCTCCCAGAAGTGCACTGTCCATCTCCAGATCTTGTTTCTCTCCCCAAACCCATCACGCTTCACCGATGTGGAGAGGATCTTCTCTGCCTGCAGGGATTACACGCCATGACTGAGAAGTTTTACTCAGAAAACGTTTTCCAGTTCACTATATTCTTCTGATCTATTCTTTTTGTGTGAATAGAGAAGATGACATAGGGATTCTTTTTTCCACTTTTCTTCTTCTTTAACATTTTACAGGATTTCATTTGTTCATTCAGTTTCTTGTTGATCAAGAAATTGCATAAATGTAAGATTATTTCCTTTTGAACATTTGTTCTCTTTGGCAAGTTTGTAATAGACAACTGAGGGTGAGAACAAGAGATCTTAGATATTCCCTTATACACTCTATAAAGAGCCCAATGAACACGACGTTTTCTTCCTGATTTAGCCCAATTGTTCGATTTCGATTCGGTTAAGCCCAAACCGGCCTAACCTAAATCCTCTGCTCGAGTCAGAAGCTCCGTCCAACTGGGCTACTTTCACTAAATTTTACACTGTGGAGTACAAAAGTTTTTTCCTCTCTAGACCGATTGATCTTAGAGTCTGGTCGGTCCGATCTGAGTCAGTACTCGATCTGAGGGTTTCAGTTCAAGTTCGGATTGATCCGACTTTTTCGGATCTATATAACTAAGCCCGAAATCCAGTTTTATAGATTTCGGATTCGGATCGGGTGGACTCGCTCAATTTCTTTGTAAATTTAAGATGTTTTGAGAAGAAAATTATCGGGTTTTTTTTTTTTTCCAAATCGGATCCGAAGGCTGATTTGAAACCGGTTTGAAAACCCAATTTTTTCGGATAAATAAACTTAAACCCAAAACCCAACATTTTTCGGATGAGTTCGGGTCGGACTTCGGACCTTAATTGACACCGCTATCGATGGTGATGGCGGGTGAGGATTTACTTTTCAACGCATCATTATAAACGAGTTAAATGTCTATAAAACATTAAAACGTGCGGTGAAAATTTGATTAAAGTTGTCAAATCTAGGCAGATCATACGAATTTTAGCCATCTATAAAACATGGTTATTAATTTATGACGTATTTAACCTTATTTTAGGAGAAATGAAAATATTTCAAATGTAAACGATCTCATCCAAGACAATTACACTTTAGGGATTTTTGCATGTATAGAAATTTGCATGTATATATATATATATATATATATATATATATATTGTGAAGATCTAAACTTTTTCTAAGAGTTCAAATTCAAAAAATGAATCTAACACAGGCAACCCAGTTCTCAGATCCATCCAAAGTGTACGACTTTGTCGTGATCAAAGGGAATGGAGTCAAGGGCTTGTCCGAAACCGGCATCAAATCGATTCCTGATGAATACATTCAGCCTTTCGAAGAGCAGCTCATCAACAGAATCCATTCCCGTGATCGATATGTCGGACCCGGACGAGAAAAAGATCGGAGAAGCCGTGTCTGATGCTGCCGAGAAGTGGGGTTTCTTTCAGGTAAGTGTACGTATACACTAAAAACAGATATCTATACTGTAATCCGACCTATAGATATATAAGAACACTGATCATTGTGTTCAAGGTGGTTAACCATGGAGTTCCTTTAGAGGTTCTGGAGAATGTGAAAACTGCAACGAGCAGATTCTTCGGTTTGCCAGTTGAGGAGAAGAGGAAGTTCTTGAAGGAATATTCTCCCTCCAAGAACGTACGTCTCGTTACGAGCTTCAACCCACAAGCCGATAAGGCTCTCGAGTGGAAAGATTATCTCAGTCTCTTCTTTGTCTCCGAATCCGAGGCCTCGCAGTTTTGGCCTCAAGTCTGCAGGTTGGCGATCGAAAACATTACATATACATGATCATGTCATGTTCATGTATTTATGCATGTTCTTGTCTGGTTTACAGACATGAAGCACTGGAGTACATGAACAAGTCCAAGAATCTTGTCAGGAAGCTTCTAGAGATGTTGCTGAAGAAACTCAACGTGAGAAAGCTCGACGAAGAGGAGAGAGAGTCACTATTCATGGGTTCATTCCGAGTCAACCTTAACTATTACCCGATCTGTCCCGACCCGAGCCTCGCAGTCGGTGTCGGTCCCCACTCGGACGTTTCCTCGTTCACCATCCTCTTACAAGACGAGACCGGCGGTCTACACGTACGGTCCCTCACGACAGGGAACTGGGTTCATGTCCAACCTATCAAAGGATCTCTAGTGATTAATATCGGAGACGCGATGCAGATAATGAGCAACGGTCTGTACAAGAGCGTGGAGCATCGTGTACTCGCCAATGGAAGCAAGAACAGGATCTCTGTCCCGATTTTTGTGAACCCCAAACCGAGCTCAGTGATCAGTCCTCTGCCTGAAATGGTCGCCCGAGGACAGGAACCGCTGTACAAGAACGTTCTCTACTCCGATTACGTGAAGCATTTCTTCAAGAAAGCTCACGACGGGAAGAAAACACTCGATTTTGCTAAGATCTAATAGTAACAATAACTGTAAACTCACAGAACATATCAATCTGTTGAATGATCAAAATGTACATGATTCAACAAAAATCCTGACCTGATAGACGGAGATAACGGTAGATCGAAGATGGAAGAATCACTTTCTCTCTGAATGATTCGGTTTCAGTGTTCATATAAATGCAGATAACATGGTACAGAAAGTAGACAGAAGTACAAACAGGAGCAAGAACTCCATTCATGTCTTCAAACCGAACTTGTGCTGAACCATCATGATTCACGATCATCATCAATGGCACCATCACTGAACTCGAAGATCTTCCTTGATCTGCAGAAATTCATCAGAAAATACCAACCGATCGCTCCTGCAGTCATTAGACCGCTCAGAAGATAGACAGTCTTAGTAGCAAACACCATTATCACAAAAAGGAACCCTGATGGGATCAAACACATCGCCACCAGTCCCGGAATGTTAAACGGAACTCTGTAAGGGCGCTTAAGCCCAGGAAGCTTTTTCCTTAGCCATATGAACGATGCGAATTCCAACAACATCCCCAAACTGTACAAGAAATTTGCAGAGGATATGATGTCTGTGAAGTCCATGTAAGCCAAACCGAGAGACATGAGAGCTGACAAGAGAATTCCGACCCATGGAGTGTTGAACCATTTGGATCGAACAGCGAAGAATTTGGGCAAGAACCCTAAATCCGCCATGCCCTCCAGCTGAAAAGCGCTGCTGCTTAACTGAGCTTCGAAAAGGCCGATACTTGATAAGACAGCACCGATCTCTATCCATATTTTCAGCCATTTTCCGGCCAGCATCTCTGCTGCTTCGGCATGAAACCCTGATTCCCATCTGCTCTGGTCTACCGACACTGCCCCAGTGACTGCGAAAAGAGGAATCAGGTAAGCTATGCAGGTGAAGATCACGGCAACGAGAAGAGCCAAGGGAAACGTCTTCTGGGGCTTGTCCACTTCGCCGGCAAGAGTGCTGACATTGTCCCAGAAATTCAAGTTCCAGAAAAGGGTATTGAAGTAGAGGGTCCAATCCCTTTTCTTGCTTCCCAAGTTACCCCAACGGTGAGGTTTGATCTTGGGGATTGCAATGGCGGACATGAGAAGGAAAGGCGAGAGAGAAACGACACCGAGAATAACCGCAGCATATCCTACAATGCTCAGGCCTGTATAGTTCAAGATAGATAAGAGCACTGTCGAGGCGAATATTGAAACTTTTCTTGGCCAACCAGATTCAAGGGCGGGGAAGAGCTTATCCAAGTAATCGACGCAGAGGACAGGAAACGAAGCAACGTTGATCACACCGCTAAGAAACTTCCACGAACCCATCATGGACCCGACGAACGATCCAAATGCACGGTGAGCCCATATCACGAACCCTCCATTGCCTGGAAACACCAACAGAATCAGACCGAACACGGGTTTTAGTTAAATCACTGGTCTATGAAGGTTAAAACCCAGAATTTCAGGTTCAGACACGATTTAGAGAAGCGACCTCCATATATAAAGTTTGGACCCTTCATGAATTTGATGATCGAATTCATGATTTTCAGGTTGAGACTTAAGACACGAATCAGAGCCACAGTGCTTATATGTTAAGCAATCTCAACAGTTACGAAAAGTTCATGAAAGTACATAAAGTTGCGAGCTTTCTTCAATCCAACGACCAGACAAAATGAGATCAGGAGATTTGAAAGTTCAAAACCCATGATTACACAACTCCAAAAACTCGGGAAAATCATACAAAAGTTTGGATCTTTGGCGATATAGATTCGATTCCGATGCATTTGAATACATACACACACACCTGGAAAAGCAGTGGAGAGTTCTGCAGTGATTAGGGCTTCAGGAACACTCCAGATGAAAGGGAAGATTAGGAAACCGAGGATCGCCAGAAGCGGACCGGCGGCTTGACCCGCCGGTTCTTCCCCAAAGGGACCGCCGGCGACTTCGAAGTATATAAGGAATATCAGAGGAACCAAAGTCAGCTTCTTCGCCGTCGCTCCGCCGTCGGAGCCGGCGGTGGTTAGGGGGAGCTCCGCCGAGTTGTTGTGGTTCGATGCTTCCGCTTCCGCAACTGTCATGCTTTCTCTCTCTCTCTCTCTCTCTCCCTTTTTTGTGGGTTTCCGAGATCTGGGAGAATCTGATGATCCCAATAAAGGGATTTATAAGGGAAGAAACGATTCTATGGAAATATATAAATCACGGATTCCAAAAAAATATCGTGAAGATATGTTTCCAGAAACGCAAGTCAGTTTCATCATCTGACACCGAATCTCTGGGAAAGATGACGGACCGTCCGATCTTTATGATTTCCGGCTTTTTATGATTCGATTAATCTGTTAATATCTCTCCTAAATTTATAAAATCCATTTTTTTTTACATTTTTTTTACCATAATCATGGAGTTATATTAAAAAAAAGGGAAATTCAACCCTCAATAGTTCTAAAAACAAAGAATCTTTTTTTTTTCTGTTGACCAATTTGTCATTTCATGCTTTATTTTATGGTTTCATGCATGATGATTGGACAGATTGGGGTGCGTGTACATACACACATGCGTGACTGTATACAAAATCTTCTGTAACAAATTAATTAATATATAAAGGGATAAGATAAGACATGAGGGGATATTTGTAACCTGAATTTTCTATTGTTGTGCCAAATCAAATTGCATCTTAACTACCAAATTATAAAATTACGGCCATCTTTGTACTAAAGTATTACCAATTAGGAGATTCATTTACACGGGTGGAGAAAAGATAAATGACCATTATTTCCCACATTGCATTATATAAAAAATACCCTTTATCTTTGCACTAAAATATTGCCAATTAGGAATCCATTTACATGACAGTAAGGCTGTGGAAAAAGGATAGTTGACCATTACTTTCCCAATTGCATTATATCAATAACAAATTGGTCATAGACATTTGGGTTTACTTGAGAATTGATCGACGATTAACTTGAGCTGGCCATTGTGCTCTACTCATATCTACATTGAACTTTTGGTGAGGGTTATTCTATAAAGTTTATTTCTTTGTCTCCATTTCCATGTCTAGCTCAATGGAGTCTGGGAGCCATACAGAACTTCCCATTGAGAAACTGACCTGAAAATTCTCTTTTGCTATGCTGTGATGCTACTTACTTCTCGTTCTTGTCGAAACTTTTTATCTTTTTCTTTCCCCCTCGAGGAAGAAAGCTGTCGGGCATTGCGTTCTTCACCGGTGGAACCTCCGGTTGTTCTCTACTTGTTGGTGCTATAAAGATCTGTTGAAGGGTTGCCCATCATCAGAATCTTCGTCATTTGAAAAATTACTCGGACAAAAAGCTTAGCTCAAGATTCAAGATTCAAGATCCCGACTCTGAGTCTTGCATTGGCTGTTTTAGATGTGAAAAGGCGATATTGGAGGAGAACTTGACGAATTTGCATCGTCTCGGAGGGAGATTTTGATGTGGACTTTGGGGCTTCCTCTCTTGTCTGCAAAGTAGCTGTTGTTGAGTTTTATGTTGTATAAATACACACCGATATATACAGTATATGTATATGTGTGTGAGAATGAAGATACATACATGTATATACAAGAATGTGTGTCAAGAAAATTAGGATTTACTTATGTTACATGGGATTTAGTAAGATGTCAATATCAGGGACTTAATTAGGTAGCCAACATAATTTGGGGTGAAATTCATAATTAATGATGAGTTTCTTTCTCCCAATAAAAAAGTCAACATGATAAATAAATATCATAATAAATAAGTAATTGGTTGAATAAAAAGAATTTTAAAAAGTTAACAAAATTTGTGGTGATATAATTGGTTGAATTAATTTAATTGATTCATGCAAAAACTAAAGTAAAATTATATGCTAACCATAGCTAAATTCCATCTTAGTTAGGTTAAACATAATTAATTTTTTTTAATCATCATCGAGTCACGGAGATTGTCCATATGCGTGTGTATTCATATTTACAATAAAATAGTAATAAATTTTAAATAGGCTTATCTTTTATTTTTATCCTGATACTAATAAAAAAGTTCCGTCACGTATACTACAAATAAAAATATCCACGTATCATGTATTTTCATTTCTTTAATCCTTGGCCTTTGGTGAAGTGGTTGACAAATAAATTAAATTAATGAAACTAATTTCTAATTAAATATATTACTACGAGAAATAAAAGTTATTAATTGTATGTTTGGTAGGTCCTTCAGATCAAGATTTGTTATAAATCAAATAAAATCTTAATAGTCCGACAAACTATTTGTTAGAGATAAGTAATAATTATAATAACAAAATCAGACAAAAAGGTAAATGCGACAAAACAGGATAATACTAAAATACGCTTCTGTTATGAAGAAATATGTCTCTTGCAAATTTCATAGTTTCGAAATTTTTATTTTACATTTTTATTTTCTCATATATTTTAAATTTGATAAATACCAATATAGATAAACTGTTTAGATGCTACCCAATCTTTTGTATTAATTTTCAATATTGTTTAAAAGTAACATATAAATTTATTTTTTTAACAGTCTTTCCACAATATAGTCAATGTCAACATGGTTTGTGAAAGTTGAAAAGAGTTGAGAGTTTTTTTATTTTATTTAAAAAAGGTGGTTGAAATCAAGTTTTAAATTTAATACTTTATAATTATATTTTTTAGGGTTTGAAAATATATTGAAGCTATATAAAATAATATGTCTACTGGTACTTCATAATGTCAAGATTTGTATAAATACAGAATTACAATTTGCTTGTTTGGGTTGGTGGAAGCAAAATTCAGAATTGGAAAGTTTTCTGTAAAATACTCCTGTGAGGCTGTGAGCCGAGACTTGCCTACAGGAGGGAGGGAGGGAGAGAGAGAGAGAGAGAGAGAGAGAGAGAGTCACCATACCAGTCCCAGTTTACGTGTCTGATAGCGAAGGAGAGGAAGGTGATTCACGTTTTGCTTCTTCCTTGGCCTCGTGAAGACAACCTCGTTCTTTTGTCCAAACTTTCTTGTTCTTTTTGGCATTTGGTGAAAATCGACGATTAGGTTTCTGGGTTTTGATCGGATTCCGCTGATCGGTTCTCGATCGGCTCAGAGCTTGGAACTTTTCGCACCGGGTTTCGTTTGATTTCTTGTTTTTTGGGGGTCCGTCTATGAGTTTAGCTCTTTGAATATGGATCTATCTTCTCAACGACAGTCCCCGAACGGGCCGAGGGGTTTTCGTCTTCAAGCTCCGTTGGTAAGCTTCTGTCTTCTTTCTCTGGCATTTCCGTGGAAACTCTCGCTGAATTTATGAGAATGGTAGTGTACACAGTTGTCGACTTCTCCGTCACGCTGACAGCTTTTGACCGAGTTTCTGTTTGGATCGTGGGGAATCTCTGGAATATGTTCTGTTCTGCTTCCCGTAGCTGAATTTTGTTTCTTCCCGTAAGAACCCTAGCCAATTTCGCAACTTGGGTTGTATTGGTAGCAAACTTGTCTGCCCTAATTTGCGCTTAATTTGTACAATCGAAATCATTGTATCAATGAATTATTTATGGTCTACTAGCCGAATGAAAATATAAATTTTCTTAATTAGCGTATTCCCTGAATTAAATCTCCTTAATTTTGAAAGGTAAACGTAAATCCATAGATTAGCCTCTCCAAAAATATTCAACGACTCTCTCCCTATAATAACCCTAATCCGCAGATGGAGAAGGAGAAGAAGAAGAAGAATCCTAGAAAAAAAAAAAATCTTTTTTCGTAATTCGAACAAATGGGTACTCTCCTACACAAGCTTTGGGACGAAACTGTGGCCGGTCCGGCGCCGGAGACCGGTCTCGGGAAACTGAAGAAGCAAAAAGATCAGATCTCCGCCGTCCGATCGCCGCCGCAGATCTCCGGCGATCATGCGGTGACGAGGAGCATAACCGTCGTGAAGGGAAACAACGGCGGAATTCTCCGGAACTTGAGGATTGATTCCGGTCGTCTTCCTGATTCTCCGGTCGGATCCAGCAGCAACCCGGGAACTCCTCACACCCGTGAGTTTCTCATTACTATACTCTTTTTTTTTAAAAAAAATTAAATTCATGCTAAAAATAATAAATAATTTGTCATCTACCCCCTCTTGTTTTGACAAACTTGGGAAAAGGACTCTATTTTTTGTATTTACAATTAAACCCCGTATTTTATAATTGGTTACGATTGCGTTTGTTTTTAAGAATTTCGTTAAATCCTCCGTCATATATATATATTAAATAAATATTAAAAAGAATGTTGTATGTGTATATGCAGCTGGAACACCTGGTGAAGTCGATGCCCAAACCCTCACTACTTATGACTGGTTTACCTCTCTTCCTCTTTTCAAATTTTGTTCTTTTAAAGTACGGATCTTTGTACGTATTTTTTCATCTGATGTTGGGTTTTTTTTTTCTTCCCACGTAATCACACAGGATTGTGATAAACGCGTTGGACCGTTGATGAGAATAGAACCACCCGAGGAGTATGGATTTGTACATAACCAATATGAATATAAAAATCTAATATGTGTATACATTAATGTACATAACATGTATATGTATCTTATGCTTGTGAATATTATTGATATTTTGTTACATAACCAAGACAAAAGACAATGCTTTTTTATTGTTATTGTTGGTGTTAAGCCCGCAAATACCCATTACTTAGCCCAACACTCAAAGCCCATATAAATAAATAAACTTGATATTTTATTCATCGACGATATAACTTAAACTACATAATGATACGCATGTATGATAATTTTTTTTTTTTACGTAATTGCATGGATTATATAAAAATCATTTAGAAAGAGGTATTTATTTATTAGATTTCTTTAAATTTTTTTCCCGCTTGTGGAATGATGATGACCGAAGGAGGAGAACAGAACATGGAAGCTTCTTCGCTTATCGTCGGGAAAAAAAAACAGGCAGGGGTAGTTTCGGTACATCACCGGAAAAGCGATCTGTCGGGGCTATTTCCGGTAATTGCATCGAAATTTCATGGCGTTTTCCGTCAATTCGCCCCTTTAAGATTAAAAAAACAGAAGGGGGAAAAACCGTCTAGACTCATCTTACCTAACCGAGCCGGCAAAACTCTCACTTGCGCCGGTGACGGAAACTCACCCTCTCCAACCAATCACAGCCCTCCACGTCGACACCGTCCATATCTCAACATCTTTCCACGTGTCCTCCCCTCTCACCGACGCCGTCACCCTCCCGTTATGACCCCCTTCTCTCCGTCTGAACAGATCCTTTTACCAAACCCTAATTTCCCTCTCCACGATTTCGCCGGCTTCCAGATCCATGGACGACGTCGACGAGATCCGCTCTCAGCCTTCTCCGGCGGCTTCCGGTTCCCCGGATCAACTGTCGACCCCGCCGGTGGGGCGGATCACGGTGACGGTGGCTTCGACGGGGCCGCCCCCGTATTCTCCAGTGTCGTTGTCACGGCAGGATGCGAACGCGTTGGCTTTGACTCTCCCGGTCCAGGCGAGCGGTGGGGGTGGCGGAGGATGTAGCAGCAACGGCAGAGACGGAGGAGGCGGAGGAGGGAGAGAGGATTGCTGGAGTGAGGGAGCGACGGCGGTGTTGATCGATGCGTGGGGGGAGAGGTACTTAGAACTGAGCAGAGGGAATCTGAAGCAGCAGCACTGGAAGGAGGTGGCGGAGATCGTGAGCAGTAGGGAGGTTTACGGCAAAACTCCGAAGACCGATATACAGTGTAAGAACAGGATCGATACGGTGAAGAAGAAGTATAAGCAAGAGAAGGCGAGAATGTCTGCTGGTGGTGGACCCAGCAGATGGGTCTTCTTCGAGAAGCTTGACCGTCTGATTGGATCAACGACGAAGATCCCGACGTCCTCTCCGAGTGGCGGCGGCGGCGGATCATCGAATAAGATTCCGATGGGGATCCCTATGAGCAGCCGTTCGAATCTGTACCGACAAGGGAAGGTTACTCCGCCGCCGATGTCGGTCGACAAGCTTGACCGTCTAATTGGAGCCACGACGAGGATTCATACCGCTTCGCTCGGTGGCGGAGGAGGAGGATCCCCGAATGTTGCTATGGGGATTCCGATGAGCAACCGATCAAATCCGTTCCAGCCGCAGGGGAGGACACCATTGCAGCAAGGGATAGTGAAAAGGAACAGTGAGTCGAAACGTTGGCATTTCAGGAAGAGAAACGCTGTTGATTCCGACTCGGAATCAGAAACAGAGATGTCTGCTGATTCCGCAGACAGTCTCCCGCCTCCTCCACTGACAAAAAGGCTGAAGACAGAGAAGAAGAAAGACAGTGGAGGAGGAGAAGCAAACAAATGGATGGAGCTGACGAGGGCAATTCTGAGATTGGGTGAGGCTTATGAGCAAGCAGAGACAACGAAGCTTCAGCAGGTGGTGGAAATGGAGAAGGAGCGTATGAAGTTTTTGAAGGATCTTGAGTTACAGAGAATGCAGTTCTTCATGAAAACCCAATTGGAGATAACGCAGCTTGGGCAACATGGGAGGAGAAACGGAGGTGGAGGCGGTGGAATGGGGAACACTAGTAAGGATCATAGCAGTAAGAACAACAACATTGCTGCCATCAACAATAACAGCGATGTTAGTAACTAGAGGTTAAGCTAAGCAAATCAGTTCGTGATTCATAGCATTCTGCATTGGTAATGCTCACTGTGTCGTCAGCATTAGGATTCAGGAGAGTGTATTATTATAATTATTGTCATTGTTGCCAATCTTGTTAACTTTCTCCAGTGGAACAGATCTTTAACTTACCCAAGTTTCTGGATTCACTGAGACACCCAGATCGGATCTCTTCTTCAACATCTTTGATCTGTGCTTGCTGAAGGTATTTGGGTTTATATCTTCTTCTGCAAATTTTGAGCTCTTCTTGATTTTAGATTTGAATCTAGCTCTATCTTGATAGAACCAGGGTCCAACTAAATACCCTAAAAACTAGTTTATCGAGGGTGTCCATAATCTTATAAAGATTTAGTTTTCCCCATATACATTAGATGTGGGACTCTAACAATATTGCCCCTTTAGACAGCGATGATTGGCGGCTTCTCAATTACTAGCGGCTATGCATCTTTGTGTTCCTCTCCTGACGGTTTCTCTACTGTTGCGTCGTCTATAGGTCTAAAACTAATTTGTTGGAAGAGGGTGTCCATATCTTTGTATGGACTCAATTTTCCTTGCATACATGTTAGATGTGGGACTCTTTCGTCGGTTACTGTCTGAAATCTTGGTTAGGTTTCTTCTCCTTTCACCAAAACTCGTTAGTTTTATTTCACCATTTCACTGCGTGAGGTAAGTTTAGATAGTCCACAGAGTTTAGCGAGGTGGGTTCTTAATAATTTGTTTCATGAACCTATGTATGTTTTGTCCTGTCCAGATTTCTTGTGTCCAAAGCATCAACAACCCATGATTATCTATAACCCATGATTATCTATAAAGCAATGTTTGAACAAAATGTTTTTTTTTTTAAAATAAAAATTTTCTATAAAATATCATATGCATTCATCTGATTTAGATGGACCTTTTGGCGTCATTAGATACTAATTATAAAAGTGGAAACTTTAGAGTCCCGCATTCATGTTTCAAACATTTTCATTTTTTTTATTCTTTTGGAGATTCTTGGCCAACAACCAAACATCTAATAATCTGTTTGAGATGTTTTTCTCATTTTGTATTGGATGGATTGTAATATTAATATAATATGGCTGCTTTGTATCGGTTTAGCCTTTGATTAATCACTTGCTTCTCTGCAGTTTTGCACATAAAACAGTGTATACCGTTATTGTTTTACAAGACTAAGTTTTGATATATGATATTATTTTTATATTTGAATAAAACTCAAATATAAAAATCTAAACTTAACAGTGCAACAACCCGTGAAATGAAGGTTGCAAAACATATTTTTTGTTCAAATTTAGAGTCATTTATTTATTCTCGTCTTAGTAATTAGTTTGAACTTTGGTTAAAGATATCTGATTACAAAAAAAATTAGAATATAAAATTTTCAAATATTCCATTGTGTATCTACCCTCTTCACCACCCTCCATGTACGGGTCAATTCTCCATTTAATTTAAAGAAAAAAGTGATCTCCTATTCTAAAATTTTATTTTTCTGGGGGACCCACAGCATCTGTTTACGAATATGTCTCCAAAAGTTGGTAAGAAAATGGTAAGATAGTTTTTAAAAATTATTATTTTTTTGCTGACTAGAAATGACCAAATCAGCTTCCAAATTATAAATTTATAATACAGTCACCTTATATTTCCATACATTTAATCCTTCGTATAATTTTTTTCCACGTATGCTAATTATCATTTACAGGAATTACTACATTTGTTTATGGAATTACTACATTACTTTCTAATAACGTTAAATAATACCCTTACAAATAATTTGTTATTTGAAAATTTGTTTTATATATGTATATAACATTTGCGAGTGTATAATATATATATATATATATATGTAATCAAATGTATTCATTACTCTTCAAACGTCCAATCATTGTCACCCTCGAGTCCTTTACCGTTAAATTCTGGAATCTTTTGGTTTTTTCAAATGTTTGGCCGTCTTCTAAATCTATAAGTTGAATTACCAAAATGCCCTGGTATGCTCCTCGCCATTTCGTGCATCAGGCTAATTAATCTCTCCTTAAAGACAAAAGAAAACAAAGTAAATTTTAGGTGTTAGGGTAATTCCGGAAATTCGATTTTTTCCTTTCGCTTCATGTTTGTTTTATAATAATCCTTTTGTTTTTAAGTTTCAAGTCTACGCTCAATTACTTTACGTCTACAAAAATGGTGATTTCTGTCTGAAGCGCATTTTCTCTCTCTTATTTCTCTCTCTACTGTATCTTTGGGAAAAAGGGTGTTCACGGTGGAGGGAGAGACGACGCGAGAGAGAGAGAGAGAGAAATCACAATCTCCCCGCGGAAGCTATTCGAAATCAGAAAATTTGAAAAGGTGATGTGAGATTCGAGTGAAGCCACAACCACCTCCATTGTTAGGGTTTTAAGAAACTTTGAGAAGAAGAAAATGCATAATCGAGGCCGAGCAGGAGAAAATTGGGAAAGGGACTCGGCAATGGGAGTCACTATTTGAATGTGAATCTTGCAAATACCGATTCACCTTAACTACACGAAGATCTTGCTTATTCTTCTCGGCAGGTATACTCCGACTTCGACGATCCGGCAAGCACTTCACTTGAACTTTTTTTGTTCCCCCGATCGCAGTGAAGTTCTTTTCTTGTGGTTCCTTTCCTGTTGGGGATGTACTTTGTTTTCAATTTGAATTCTCCGATTTTCTTGATGCGGCTGTACGATTTTCTTAATCGTCTTGAATTAGTTTCCTTTATTGGATCGAGTTTTAATTTTCCATGATTGGAATCGGATCTAGCAAATGTACTTGATTCTGGATTCTGGGCTTACTATTTTGGTCATGTCTCCTTTGTTCTTTTAAGTTGAAAGATTTCTATTTCTAGCGCCAATGTAGTTGTGATGTTTCTTCTGTTCATGTGGATCCGTCAGTGATGGAACTTTGTTCTTCGTATAGCATTTAAGTTATAGTGATGGCTTTTCCCTTGTTGTTTCTTAGGATGTGAATTATGGACTCAGAGCTTTTGATGCTGTTCAACATTGATGTTAAGCGATAAGTTTGATATTAAGACGAAGATTTTGTACAAGGTTGTATAGTTTCGAGCAGAAGATGAAGTCCTCTACACCCCTTGACTATGCCATCTTCCAGCTTTCCCCGAGGCGATCAAGGTAATTGAATTACAGAATGATTCTTCTTTTCACTGTTATAGTGCCAGTGCTTGTAGGGTTTTTGGATAATCTTCTCCTCTTTCATTTCTGGCAGATGCGAGTTGTTTGTATCTAGTGCCGGGATTACGGAGAAGCTGGCTTCTGGACTAGTAAAGCCGTTTGTTGCTCATTTAAAAGTGGCAAAAGAACAGGTTGCCGAGGCAGTTCAGTCTATCAGGCTAGAAGTTGAAAGCAATAAACATGCTGAAACTTGGTTCACAAAAGGGACACTTGAAAGGTTATATGTAATGCAGAACCTGATATTTGTGTATTTTGGATCAGGGCTTATGCTAAAACTTTGATTTTCTTGTGCTTGCTGGTTTATAGGTTTGTACGGTTTGTTAGCACTCCAGAGGTCTTGGAATTGGTAAACGCTTTGGATGTGGAGATGTCACAGTTGGAAGCAGCCCGACAAATATATGCTGAGGTTCTTCAAATCATTTAAAGCAAAAGCTATGTTAACTTGGATGTTTGTACTGACTTTTACAATTTTTAATAGGGGATGGGTGATCAGCAATCTACATCAAGAGGTACGTATGTTGTTACTTGTCTTCTGGGTGTATTCTGTCCATGAACTTGAAGATTCTGTATAGTAATGATAAATGTATCGAAAAATAGAACTGGATAGTGTTGGGTAAGTCACTATTGATGTGAGAGTAGTATTTTGTTTTAGTTGTAACTGTGGTCCTTGATTGACTCATATAGGCCGAGTTTCCAAGATTTATTCCCCCACGACATATAAGCTTTATCGTAACTGATTTTTACGCCTTGATTTGGAGAAACCATCTACAAGACCAGACTAATTAGCTGATTTGATTTTACCTTTGGGTCTTTAAGACCATATGTAACATAAACTTCTATTTGGTTGAACATGAGGTCTTTGAAAAGGTACAAATGTAGTTTTTCTTCAGTACCGGCGACAGACTAGCTTGTAAATGAGACTCTTTCAGAAGCTTGCTTCCTACTGTCATATGGTGGCCTCTCATGTTGTTATCTACAGATTTTAAAAACATTCTGAAAATTATTGTATCATCATCGTTTCCAATTACACCCATGGAGTTCCATCATCTGCCAACATTGTGAATCATTTGTTCTTCTTTCCTTGCTAATCTGGCTTAGCTTTTCTTGGTTCAGATGGCACAGAAGCTATGGCGGCAGCTGATCTGACAAAGTAAAAATCTCTGTTTCTACTCTTAACAAACTTTCCCTAATTTGGTGAATGATGATTCTTTTATAGGATATCAAAGATGATAATATGTGCACACATCTGCTCTGACTTCAAACGCGATATAAAGAAGATTTTATTATTGCATTATTGTATGTTTTCCAGGAAGGAGCTACTGAGAGCTATTGATTTGCGACTGGCAGCAGTTAGGCAGGACCTAGCCACTGCATGTAATCGTGCATCTGCTGCTGGTTTCTATCCTGACACTGTCTCTGAATTAAGGAAATTTGCTGATCAATTTGGGGCCAGTCGCTTGAAGTAAGTTTTTCATAGCCTTCATAACATCTATTATTTGTATGAGCATTATTGAAGCCTTTATGGAACCTTTTTAATTTTTCTCTCATAGAAAAGTTTGGCACTGTATTATGAGTTCTAGCTTTTCCAGAGCGGAGGCTATCCACATTTTGGCTTTTACAAACCAGCATATTCCTACATCAATTTTTGATATGTGTACTATGCGGTTAAGATTTTATTTTGTCAACCTTCATGTTGGGTCTCCGAATTTCAGTGAGGTCCCCATCCTATTGTGAAGTTTGAACTCTTTTGATACTAAAGAGTGTTTTGGTATTCCTCCTAAACAAACCTTTAGGCCGCAAAACTGCTAGATCTGATTTCTGTATAATCTCCCATATATATATATATATATATACAGGCACCTATTTATGGTAATGGGTTAGACATTGTTAGATCTTAGCTGACAAACTTTTTTCCATAAACAGAAACCTAAACAGGCATTATATATGCCACAATAGATTATAGACTTTAGGTAGGATTGGTCTGATGGAGACTTGCGAACTGCTTTTAGGTGGATGTAGATGATTTTTTATGACTAGGATATCTAACTGAACCTACAAGATCTGGATCTCACCATTAGTTACTGAGAGTCAAGGTGGTGAGTTATCCCACTTTTTTGCAGAGGCCCTTCTATATCTTAGAGTTCCATACGTGTTTTGCTCTTTGGCTTTCTTAATTGTCAGTGATGCATATTCTCATTTTACTTCGTCTGCTAATCTTATTGCAGTGAAGTATGTACCAAATTTATCTTAGTTTGCCAAAGAAGGCCAGAGCTGATCAGCTCTAGCGGAGCCACTTTGGAAGACAAAGCCATACGAGCATCATGGGGATCTGATATGTCTATTGATGACCCTAGTGAAGGGCAATCTGGTCTCCAAGACGTGACTAGATCTCAGACAGATAGGAGCCATCAAACTGGGATGGAAGAATCCCAACAAGAATCAAAGCTTCCCATGTTTCGTCAGTCCAGGTCCAATCCCAACTTTCTCATGCAGCAAACTAGCCAAAGTGAAAAGAATGATGAAGAGGAGACAGGTCCAGTGGTGAATGAGCCATCGTCAAGTCAGCCTAAACAACTCACAAGAAGGCTTAGCGTGCAAGATAGAATCAACCTCTTTGAGAACAAGCAGAAAGAGAGCTCAAACTCTGGAGGGAAACCAGCTGCAGGAAAATCCATTGAGGTGAAAAGACTCTCTACTGACTTATCATCTTCTATGGGTATGGAGAAGGTTGTGTTACGGAGATGGAGTGGTGCTAGTGACATGAGCATCGATTTAAGCAATGACAAGCAAGATGGTACTGGCGATAGTCCATTGTGCACACCCTCATCATCATCAGTGTTGAAAGATGGAAGCAATGTATATCAAAACCAATTTGTTAACAGTGACCAGAAACACCAAAATGGTTTGAGCAATCCCGCAATCTCAAGTTCTGATGGTGTCGGTGTCCTGGGATTGGGCCAATTAGAGATTCAAAATTCAAGTTCTAGTTTGTTGGGAAAAAACAAGGAGGTGGACTTGAAGGTGAAATTGAATACGAAGAATCAAGTGGAACATCGAGGAGTCTCACATGGTTCTTTGGTCCGTGGGGAAAAGGATTCCAGGTGTATGAACCAATCATATTCTGAGGTGAGCTCCAGAGGGGCTTTGGATAACTCAGAGAATGAAAAAACGAATGATGAATCCAATGCAGACATGGGTGATTTGGAAATGAACAGCAAGAACCTTATACAACAATCCAGGGATTCCCAGAGTCAGTCATTGTCTCTGTTGCAGCATCTGGATGGTATTGAACCTAACAATGCGAGTGTCCGGTACAACGGAGGATCAGTGGAAACTCAGAAAAAAGAGCTAACATCTTCAGATAGGCAACCATCATTGGTTGAAGATCCCCAGGGAAGGAGGGCCCAGAAACTGGTTTCTGCAGGTTAGTGACAGGAATATGGTGAATTTTAGTTCACATGCCTGTTCCAGGGTAAATCATTTTGTGTGTTAGCAATAGCATCCTTTATAATTTCAGATGTTTATGATCTGCATTACTGCGTCAAGTCTTCTTTAACTGCTGTGTATCCTTGCTCATTCGTTTTGTGTGCTTAACTATGATTATCCTCCGTCTTTTTGTGGCTTCCTGATTCCTTTCTTCCTATTCTTAAAATGATCATGACTACAGATATGTAAGTGTTATACAATTGAACCTTTTTCTTTTCTCCTTTTTTTTATATGGGCTTGGATTGACACAAATTAGCTCATCTCTCTTTTGATTATTTTTCTTGCTCATTCTTTGTTTAGGTTCTGAACAGATAAAAAGGCCTTATGATCAGAGGACTGGAATTGATTCTGCTGATTCGAGTACAAAGCCAAGTGTTTCAGACAGGTCAGAGAATGATTCTCTGACACATCCATTCCCAGCAGAGCAAGCTCAAAGGACAAGACTGACAAAGGGGAACCAAGAGCTAAATGATGAATTGAAAATGAAAGCGAATGAGCTTGAGAAACTGTTTGCTGAACACATGCTCCGTGTTCCTGGGGAACAATCCAGTTCTGGTCGACGTGGTATACCCGCTGGAAAGCCAAGTGAAAAGGTGGCAACTTCACAGCTTAGAAGACATGCAGCTTCAGAATCATCTCCTGTACAACTACCTGATAGGAAGACAATGGCGAAACCCGCTTTAGGATCAAGCGATGCAGACTTCAGAACTCCGCCAACAACAAAGATGGTTGGCAACAATGACTATGGGGATACTGCGAGGCTGAAGTTTTCAGATCTCAGCTTTTCAGTTGATTCTAGAGGAAAGTTCTATGAGAAATATATGGAGAAAAGGGATGCCAAGTTGAGGGAAGAATGGAGTTCTAGAAGGTCTGAGAAGGAAGCCAAATTGAAGGCGATGCAAGATACACTTGATAGCAGTAGCGCCGAGATGAAGGCCAAGTTTTCTGTGTCTGCAACAAAATATGATTCAAATGCTCGACGAGCAGAGAAACTTGTGTACTTCAATTCTAGGATGAGTGCCAAAAAGGAACAGGTATACTAAGCTTTCTGAAACTGAAGAGTACTTGGGGTAGGATATGATGAAGTTTTATTTTTCGTTTTCTAATTAATCTGATAATGTGATGATTTGACAGCATCCGGTTAGCTCATTTCAGAGTGAAGAAGATGGGGATGTTTCTAGGATCAACCAGAGTAAGAAGCTTCAACAAAACAAAAATAATTTCTTGGCTACTCGAACTACTGCTACATCAGGTTTACGGTCAACGGCTAAAGCTTCTACCACTAGCTCTGTTAAACGGAGAGTGCATTCAGACAAATCTCTTGCACAGTCAGTCCCCAACTTCTCTGACGTAAAGAAGGAGGGCATGAAACTATCCTCTGGGCCTGGAAAAACTGGTCTCCGTCTACAGGCAAGAAACTCTGCCCGCCCAAAGAGTACAAATGAAGAAGAAAAACCTCAGAGGCCGACGAACCTCAGGAAAACTGCTTCTGAAGCTGCTGAGTTAGCAGAGTTGTCTCCTACGAAGTCTGATGATAGTGTTACCATCCCTCTGAATCTTGATCAGGAGCAAAATGGGATAGAATGTACCAATCTTGGACTAGGTATCGGTTCTGATATTGCCCAGCTAAAAGTTTCAGACGGCTCTGAGAGTTTCAGAAATGATGAGAAGTATGGTGAACATACCTTTGAGTCCGAGGGGTCAGAGGATGCAGGGAAAGA